AGATAAGGACTGGTATGGGATGGTCCTGCCTCAAGCCAGGGGTAGGACTAGATGACCTCTGGAGATCTTTTCCACCCCTACTCTTCTATGATTGTATACAGTGTGGCAATTTTATAAATTAAAATGGAGGTGATAAAAAGGTAAAACACATTTTTCAGAATGTTACCAGATTCTGAAGGAAACTATTTAATAAAAAGTGTTTCAAATGGTTATAGAAAGTTTTATGAGTGTTTGTCTAAAAATCCTGAGTGCATTTTTTGGGTGACATCACCAATATACTTTAAGAAATATAGTTTTAATCTAACCAAAGTAGCACTGTAGGGGGAGATTCTATTCACAAATGTGTTTGTATAAACAGTATAATGGATACCTTTTACACCGGGTTATGAAGATACTGCAGCTGCTTGCCTTTACGTATTAGCAATTTATTCAAAGTAACATGTGAATTATATGTGTGGGTTGCTTACCAGTTTGCAAGAAAATAACTTTACTGGAGGGGAAATCCATCAGAGCCATTACCTCAGGTGCATTGTCTCAGCTCATTAATATATAGTCTATAGTCTTTGAGCAACACAGTAACTAGAATAAAAGTATACACTGGAAACATGTTGGGATGCCATTCATTTGCTGAAGAAACTAAGTAGAATAAAAATGAAAAATTATGAGGCTTATCTGTTACCTGTAGAATGTCATCTTGAGCAATAAAATAAATCGTCATGCCAACCATTTCATCTAGCCCTGGTCTCATTTTCTAGAAACCGTTTCCATGTCTCTACCCACGTTTAGACAAATGACCATAGGTATTCGATAAATGTGAAGCAATACTATCGCACAGGGAAGAATGGGAATATTCGCTGTTTGGAAATTCTATTGAAGTGGGATAGTGATTAGAGGGCAGATCCTCCTCTCCATATGTTTCTTTTGGGGTTACCCAAGAACAGAGGTTACAGCAACGGCTTGTGGAGGCTGAAGCCCACCTTAGAAAGTGAGATCCACTCCTAGGGCCCTGGAATTTTGGTTGAATCCAAAACTCAGCCGGCAAATTCAGAACTGATGATCCGATTTTCAATGTCCCTGCATTTCAAAGACTGCCCGTGGACTCCTTTCCATAATATTCAATTTAATCTGTTTTTGATTTTTTTCATATGCCCACCTCACTTGATGGAATAAAAATGTGAATACCTCACAGGTTCCATAATTTTTTCTGCTATCTTCTCAGGGCAACAAAGTAAGTTCACTTACATTTTGAAAAAGTGTGGTGCGGGAGAAAAAAGAAGCTGCTATTGTTGGCTACAAATGTCCAACTCGGGATCCTTAAAATTCTGGTTTATTAGGCGGATTGAAACACTAATGAAGTCAAATCATAGACCTGGGGGCTGGTCCCCACACATACACACACACACACACATACACACATGCACACACACAGTAGCGAGTTACAAGAGTCGGGTATACCTATCCCACAGGCGCTGGAGTCTGCCGTCAATGGCCAGTTGAGGCTTCTTCCAGCGTGGTGTTATCCTACAGAAGGGGGTCACGTCTGGTCCTTCTGGCTGGACAGGTCGGGTGCTGGTCAAGTTGGAGATCAAGAGGGCACCACTGAGGGTCACTTTTCACTGCTTTTTATCTGTCCCTGGCAGACTTGCTTTTTATCTGTCCTTAGCAGACTTTGGTGACTCCCCAGTTTTCAAGTTTGCCCAATCCAGGGTTCTTTGACCCTCGTGGGACTTCCCCCTCAGTGGCTACTGGATGGCATCTGTCAGCCCCAGGGGTCGTCCACATGTATATGCAGGTTTGGGAGTCCGTTGATGACTTTTGATTAATTTACCGCTGTCATGAATAGGGCTCTGGGAGCCGTCGATCTGGAGATATTCAGCCCCAAAACTTGGTCCCCAAGGTTGATTAACTCAGACGAGGGCTTCTAGCCCTTGAACAGTGAAGTTTAGAGAATTTCTGGTTGCTACATTGTCTCCTGTTGATTTCTTCAGTTGGTTGATCTGTGGTTTTCCTAGGTATTAACTCAGACGAGGGCTTCTAGCCCTTGAACAGTGAAGTTTAGAGAATTTCTGGTTGCTACATTGTCTCCTGTTGATTTCTTCAGTTGGTTGATCTGTGGTTTTCCTAGGTATTAACTGACCCTTGTTACTGAAGCCTGCTACTGTGTTAGGCAGACAAGGTTCCTTGGGTGAATCTGATATCTTTTATTAGACCAACCCAAATAGTTGGAGAATAGTTATTAAGCAAGCTTTCGGGTTCAAAAACCCTTCCTCAGGCTAAGGAAGTTTCAGCAGTTGGTGTGTGCTCTTCCGGGATGGAATGAGAGATTGGAGAGAGAGCGGCCCTCCTGTGAGAAATGTGCCCCCACCGGTAATTGGGTATTTCTGTCTTTGATAGATTTCCAGTGTGCGTTCATTCTGGTGCGCAGTTGTTGTTTGGTCTCTCCTACGTATTTTCCATCAGGGCATTTGGTGCATTGGATGAG